CGGGGGGAATGCGAGTGCCGTTACGCCTGCCGGGGTGAAGTCGACGAACCGGCATCGGTGTACGGAGAGCGTTCTGGCTTCGACCATGTATTGGAACCGCAAAGGTCCGTCAAAGCTAATTTTTGTTCTTCTCGTGCACGGGAGGATGGGGAAATGACCGTGCGCGGGCGACCTGTGAGGTCTTTGAGGAGGACCAAAGTTTTTGATCGAGCCAAATGCGGCAGGAAGCGCGTCTGTGTGGACGCGCCAAAGTGCGCTTCGCCTCGTTCACACCCGACCAGGTTCACGGTTCAGCTCCTCGGTTACTCTTCATATTTTACGAGTCTCCTTACTCGAAAACAACCATAAAATGTCTTTCCTTGGTGGTCGTGGCAATACACCAGCTGGCTCCGTCAACCCGGAGCGCGTCGAGATGGCCATGCAAGAGTGCGTACACGCTCAACCTTGGATCATTGCGAGCATGCCGAACTGACGTTCGCTCATAGGCTTGACATGATTACGGACGTTTTCAACAAGCTCGTCTCGTGAGTTCATACTAATAGTCCAGTTCATTCACGCTCACGCCGCGCTAGGTCATGTCACACCAAATGCGTCAGCACACGATACGCGGAAGGAGACTTGAACAAGGGCGAGAGCGTCTGCATCGACCGCTGCGTAGCCAAATTTTTCGAGGTCAACAAGAAGGTCGGCGAGAAGTTGCAAACAATGGGGGGAGCTGCTGCTGGCGCGGGAGCGACACAAAGTGCGTTCGGACAGCTGTGAGGGTGTCGCCTGTCGAGGGAGCCCTGGTGATAAAAACATGTACCTTACTCTCATATAATATGCTCCGGCAAGCCTCTGAAGCTGCGCACCGTTCGGACGTCGCGAGCCATCCCATTTCAGATCTATGGGTATACATACGCCATCGCAAGACACATACAACACGCTGGGATTAGAGGTATAGCAGCAGGAAGTCGACCGTGCCTGGAACAGCGACCGGTTACTTTGCTTGGACACCCGGGAAACACTCAGCCATTGTCTTGGAGTGCTTATTGTGAGCATGCTCTTCGAGTCTATATGACGTAGGTCAAGCTGTGTATATGGCAGAGTTCGTCTGGTGACTCACGCGGGTGCGCGGGTGGTCAGCAGCTGGTACATTGTGCGGGTAAGCGGTGGTAGTGGCGGTTATGAGGGCACAGGGACTCACGAAAGTCTGACGGCAGGTCTGGCACATGATGTTCTTTGCTGCCTCGTTGACTTTGGTCTGAGACTTAGCAGTAGATGCTGTCTTGGCCTGGTTGCGCTCCCTCTTCTGTTGCGCTCTGGCACCCTGCGAAGATCAGTGGGTGTAAGTAGGGCTGTCTCGGTCCGATCTAGCGATCTGCGTACGTTTCCCATTTTGTTTGGAGAAAACGAAGGTGGGTGTGAAGCGATAGGACGAAGAGAGCGGGGAGAGGGAGGGGATTAATGCACCGCCTGGAGAAAGGCAAGTGCTGCAAAGCTCTGGAACGTGGCTTCGACCCTGGAGCAAACGCTCGATCAACAGAAATGGGCCTGAAATTACCAATTCGGATGTATCCCGGCGGACGAAAGCTCTTGTTATGCGCAAGATTGGGACCGGGTCACTGCTCCCCGAGGCCGTTCGCTTTGGCCAGTGAAATTGGATCCGAGCCCCGGTTGTGAGAACATGAGCGATGGTTTTACCACCAGCTCTTTTTATACCGCACGTTGAGCATTCTCTCGCGCACTCAGCCTCCGCCCTACTCCCCTCTCAAGACACTCCCTGATGATGCTCGTTAACGGAGACCTCGATGCCGCTCGCGCTGCAGTCGCAACGCAAGTGAAATTTGACATCCTGACCGAGTCGCATGAGGCCGTGAGTCCCACCATGACTCACGCATGAATGTCGAGGCTGAGTGTGATGCGCTGCGCAGGATAATGAGAAGGCAAGGCAGGAGATTGCGAGAAGCTTCATCTGTATGTACATTCCATCAGTCCAACTTTTTGACGAGACGACTTACATTGGTCCACAGCCGATACCATTACAGGCAGGAGTCTTCATTGTGGCGGCGACGGGATTGACCGTACTGACCGACCCTGCAACAGTCCCGACGAAGGAGATGTACCTCTATGCCTCC